AAAACCTGGCTGGCGCCTTTCCCTGGACTTCTCTCTCTCTTTACCTGCTTCCCCCCCTTTCTCCCTTCTTTTCTAACTCCCCATGTCCCCGCCTTACTAACTCTTATATCACCATGTCCCCATATCTCCATCGCCTCACGCCCAGCATACCCGATAACAACGTCCAACTCACGCCTCTCGCCAAACCAGACCCATCAACCCCCGCCCCCCGGCTCAACATCACGAAACCGAAATCGAAATCAAGTTCGAAATCGAATCCAGCCAAACCCATCACCCATTACCCAAAGAACCAAAAACGCAGTACGTCTCCTCCACCGACTCAACGCTAACAGCCGGTGTAGATACCAATCTGAGGGATGACGGCTTCTGCGCAGGACACTCCTCCATCCCCACTTACCTCTTCATAGAAGAAGGAAAGCGGGGGATGGAGAAGTGTCGCGCCCTGGATCTACTAACGCCGTTCATACAGAGCAGGTATTTGGGAAAAACTCCTCCGGTCTGAGCAAAGCCTAGCCTACGTGGGCTGGCCCAGTAAGTGACAGAGCTTGTACGTATACCCCGCTGGAACATGAAGAACACAAAAAAGATAAAGGTGGTGGTGGACTGACGTTGACGATGACGGCGGCAGGCTGGCTAAAAACACAAGCCCTACTGTTGACCCCCACTCGCGCAAGGCACGTTTCCGCTAGGGAGATGCTCTGGTATGTTGCCCCTTCACTTGAAGCTTGAGGGGGATGGCGATGAGATGGGGTGCTTTGGGTGATGCTGATACTGATGCTGATGCTTTTGTGGGGACAGTGCTTCTACCTTTTTCTCTCTCCTCTACCTCTACCTCTACTTCTCCTTCTAATCCTACTTCTACCTCCTTGCCTCTATACCACTACTCTACCACTCGTGAGAAAGTCCTCCATGCAAATGCAAGGGGAACGCACCCTCCAGACTCAAGGGTGAGTGAGCGAGCACGAATGCAAGCGCAACGCATCCCACCGCCCGTCGCCATACGCTAACGTGAACCATACATCAGCACTACCTCCCCCTCCTCGTCAACGACATACCGACAAAGCAAGGCCCAAAAGAAGACGCAGACCTGTAGCCCGTGGCCAGTGTTCAATCCAGCCCAGTAAGTGACAGAGCTTGTAAGTTCCCCCACCCTCTCTTCACCCTCTCAGAATGCAACCATCAAACTAGAACAAAGAACTAACCTAACCTCCTCTCCAGGCTGGCTAAAACACAAAAAAGAAGCAAGCATTGACCACAACCCATCGAAATCTACGATGATGAAATAGTCCGTCAGTACCGGGGACTTGATCTCGACCTTCGTCCACCTCGGATTCTCCTGGTGGAAATCAACCAGTTCTGGGGAAACGGGGGGCTGGGATGCGGAGCGGATGTACAATACTTACTCTACGGAGTACTTATGGTAATGGTATTCAGCGCCTTGCCAGGCTCATATCCTGCCTTTTGTCGTGGAACAATTCAATCTATATATCTATATACCTATACATATACCCCGTATCCGGATCGAGTTCTCCGTATCACAAACCAGACCAAAAATCATGCATCCTGCCCCTGGGTTGACACCCAATTTAAAGGTAGATAGCAAGCTACAGAAGTCAATGTACTAACGACGAACCGCTCTGGTCGCTGGGCCGTGCTGTATCCCCAGATAAATATCTAGTCGAGCACCCAGACATAATTCAACTTCTCAAACAGCAGCCCTAGCTCCTCGACTCTCGCAACGGGATAGTCACAAACAACCGGTTGCAATCATAATGCCAAACAAAAGCAACAACAACGGTGTCGGTGTGCTCTAGCCCACTGCACCAGCGGACGCAGGTTGCCCTACCCACCGAGTTATGAACTTCGGTCCTCTCCTGATCGGGGGCTTTGACTGCACGGCACCCAAGGGGGCGGGGGTGTAGATGCATCGATTAATAAGCCAGCCCCAAGCAGGTGTACGATGCAGATCGGATTGTCATTGGTGTTGACTGGATGTTTATGCCCCCAACTCCCGCTAAGCATGGGGGTGGGCGCAGGATGCATGGTCCGTCACACCGCATCGCAGTTCCCCTCTACCGGTAGTCTTGGGCTGGAAGATGTGGACGGTCTGTCAGAATGCTAACATGGATATGACCCGACTGTATTAGTATTAAGAGTAGGTACACTGGTCAAAGTCCCGATTCACCTAGGATGTCTCGTCTAATTCACACTGGGACGTGGATTGGAATGGTCTCTGTGACAGGCCGAGACTAATGGATTGTCTTGTTTGTGAATTATGATCATCCTACATGAAACTACCGTGCGTGACGGAGCTCTGTCTCAGTGAAGAATAGTCGGACAGCATCAGAAGAAGTCTATGCTATTTCAAATCCCTTAGCTAATGTATAACTGTATCGCAGCCGTGAAGCATGCACAACATCCGAGAGTAAGTGTATATACCGCTCAATATCCACAGAAAATAAGACATTGTGTCAACAGAAGATAACTCCCAACACCCGGAACGCTCACAAAGTAAATGGCCGACTGCCTTCCCGGCCCAATAAAAACGGGACAACTTCTATATAGTATATGCAGCACATATAGACAAAGCCCACGTCCACGCAAAGTAAAGTGCTGGAAATATACGACTGTGGAGGATACAGAGCGAATTAACAAGTATCAACAACATCACTCTGATACATCCTCGTCCTTCCCAGGATAGACGATATCCCGTTTCACAACGGCACGCACATTGCTCACAAACACGAACAGCCACATCCCCACAATGCAGATGGACATGGCAGATCCGACGCCCTTGACCCCGGGGCTATCGAAGGCTTTGCCCAACGTGATGGTCGCGAGGGTAAACCCCGTGTTTGGGAACACCATAGCCCACCAATTGAGGTGGAAGGCGGTAGGTGGCAGGCGGATGGTGGCGATGATGGCAATGCTGAAGAACCAGAGACTGAGGGCCCAGAGGAAGGCGCCCGTGGCGATGGCAAGGAGTCGCAGAATATGCGCGTCTTGAAAGGGGTGCGGGTCTTGTAGGACCTGAAAATCCTCAGGAAGGCCGTTGGTCATGCCAATTAGGGCAAGGGCCGTGAAAGCCGGGGGCCCAACGCAGATGAACATCCCGGGTCGGTGTTCCCGGGATGGAAGCCCCGTCTCCATGAGCCGTCCGATATAGTGCGCGTACATGAGGAAACTGATGGAGAAGCCAAGGCCTTGGAAGGTGGTGCCGGCGACGATCATGGGAATGGCAGAGCGCGCGGGCTGCTGTTCGGCAATGACGGAGGCGATCGTGCCACTGAGCATGATAGGGAATGCGGGGAGGATCCACGAGGGCATCATCGTTTGTAGAGGGTAGTGGTGGGCGGTAAACACAAAGGAGTATTGGATGATAGCGGTCATCAGAGTGAAGGCACAGTAGAGCCAGAAGAGCACCTCAAGGGCGTAAATGAATGCAGGCTGTGTGGTGTCGCCGAAGTAGCGGTAGAGTCCGGTGATGATAGTTGCAATGGAAAGCCAGAAAGTGGGGAAGAAAAGACCCTCGCGGTCGTGTCGGAGGGAGTCGAGAAAGTTCCCGTGGAGAATGAAGCGCGTGGCCATGAGGCTGCACAGCAAAGCAAAGAAGGCCAGATTGATGATGTATACCGCAAGCCCGATCTGTTGCAGTCCGCCGAAGGAGTAGGGCTGGCTGGCCAGCAGGAGGGCTAGGCCACCGGTACTCATGGTCAGAGTATACCAGGCCCAGGTAAAGTGACGCAGACGGTCCCGTAGAGACACATTGGTGGAACTAGAGTATTTGGAGGCTTTAAGCTCATGTTGGTATGTCGTAAGGTCCGAGCAGGAGGTGCCGGGAGGCGGGTATTGCCCGAGCATACTGTGTATCAGAGAGATGGAGATGGAGAAGAATGACTGTAGTGATGGCTATCTAATGGAAATGGTGCAAGTTTTAATAGTAGAACTGAGCGACAAGAAGCTGTATAGCTGCATTCAGGCCCAAGTGAGGGTCCGCGATGAGTTTAGCACAGCCAATTCGAATCTGTTGATAAAGCCAATGAGTGTGAACCACAAACCCAGTATAGAAGCGGAGCAGCACAGATATAGCATCAGCCTGCATTAGCCCCTATCCATCAGGGCTTTGACAGTGCCTCGCAACATTGGGTTGCTGCTGTTGTCTCGCTACTACCAATGAGAAAGACAGAGCATACGGTGCCGCCAAGGGTCTGATCTTTTTGATCCACCAAGTGCGACAGAAGAGGAGACACTTGATCTGGGCGTTGACGATTGCAGATCCAACAATGGGCCCCTGGCGAGAGGCGCGGCGAATTGAGAGGGCGAGCAAGTGTAAACAACCTGAGGGAGGAGACATACCACCTGCCAAGATTGCAGTTCTGGTCCACAGTCCAGGCATCATCGAAGGTAGGGAGTGGGCTGGATGCCGAGGAAATGGATGGGACCAAGATCTACCTTTTTTCAGTCTCCGCTTTGCTCAGTGACCCCAAAAACTGTGTATGGTGCTGTGACAGTGGGTCACAATTGCAGAGACAACGTCAGCAGCCAGTCATTCCATCAGGTTTCGTGCTGTGGAATGTGTACGCCATCTCCTTTGTCGTCTACAAGTGACGCATGTCATAGCATGATGTGATGTCTGCGGCAGTCTCATTCAAAGAGAGCTAGAGATGATGATTGATGGTCAGGTAAATACCAGCTGCCTAGAGAACATAGCAGTTTGTTTTTCGAAACCGCCCAGGAATCTAAAATTGAGGCAAACGCGTTCGAAGGGAAAAGTCGTAAGTGATAGAAATGCTCCGACCACGATAGTGAGAGACACAAACAAGTGTTGCGAACCAGCGTCGGCTCCTTGAGCGATTTGCATCATCATTATCATCATCACCAATCGGAAGGGGTTGATAAGCCTCCCCTGTCGGACCGAAAGTGAGCAACATCGGCAGGGCCAAGGTAAGTCAATGATTATCGTCGTGGCTCGGCCCAAGGATAAGGTTCTTGAGAGCCTTGACAACCGGCCGAGATGTGATAGATCGCCGCTTGGCTGGGGAGTTCGAGTCAGAGAATCCAGCCATCTACTTAGGAGGCAAGCAGGTAGACAGGGAAGACGGGTTCAAAAACGTGGATAGAATGGATGGTGATGAGTACGCTCAAAGATAGGAAGAAATCCAAGCCAAGAAGAAGATCGACAGCGCAGCGTCAACGGGAGGCCCGCCGCCAAGCTTCACGGTGGCTGTGGCCGACTGATAAGAAGAGCCGGAAAAAGGGGGATGGGATCATTGGAGTCAATCAATTGAGTTTATTTGTTTCATGGTTTCATGGTCGAATCATCCAGCATCGCATCTGGGCTTGAGTGTGTCTGTGCCGGTTGAACCAAAGTTAAGGGAAAGGGAAGAGCGGGAAAGTGAGGTTTAGAGCCGGAGGGAGGAAGAGGAGGAGGAGGAGGAGGAGGAGGAGGAGAAGGAGGAAAGACTTGGCAGTGCCCAGCCATACTACGAGTTACGAGTTATTCTCGCCAAGCATGGCTCAGCTTCTTCTTCTTCTTCCACTCGCGACGTCAACCGCATTCTTGATCGACTCGAAAGGAGTACAAGGAGTACTACGGTATTTGATCGTCTATCGCTTAAAGCGCGTTTCATCCTTCCTGACGCAATCCATCCGCAAGCAAGCAATTCTGCAGCCTGACAACACAAGTAACAGCAGTCAGACCTGCAGCAAGCAGCCCCTCCCCTCCTGTCGCCTCCCCTGTCGCCTCCTTCTTCACGGAAACGTGGTCTGCAGCGAAGCAGACGAGAAATCGGCAGGTGTTCTCAACGGGGAAGGTCAGACGAATGACCAGCGCATGCAGGACACAGGCCATATCATAAAGAATAATCTGGAATCGTTTCACCAACCAAACTATTCGAGCAGGCACCCACGCTAACCATGCACAGCAGCAATTCACCAAGAAGAAATCAGTACGCAGCCAGTTCTAATTATAGACAGCAGGAGAACGTCAATCATATTCATTCAAATGGTCGAAATCATAATCGCATAAAAAGACACAAGGAAAGTCGTTGATGTGGGTTCGCAGATAGCATGAGATAATCGTTCAGCAAGATATGGACGCCGGATTATGCAGTTCGTACATCCTTGTATGGAATCCTCTGGAACGAATGGGAACAAACGGGTTCACATGCATGGCCAGGAACAGATCGAAGAACAAAATATGGCAGGAGACATTGAAGGAGTAAAAGAATGGTGCTGTTCACAGCATACCCACCAACACAAAATCACATCATCATCCGGTATACGAGATCAGAGGCAAGCTCCGTCGTACTATCAAGCAATGCCCGCAAGCCCTGCACGGAAGGCTTCTGGGATCTGATCGAAGGAGACCCCAGATCACTTTCGACTGGCGGACAGTACGAGGCCAGGTCCCGCACCTTGCACGCTGCGTAGTGCACAACCAGCTTTCGCAACTCGTTGTCCCGCAGTTGGGTGGCAGAGGTCGGAGTGATCGGCTCCAGACGGGTGGTCTTGGTGTACGTATAGTGTAGCAGGTCAAGGATTTTACGAGCCTTGATGCTGGCCAGAGCATGATGATCTTCATCATCATCCACCTGGTCCCTCTCAGGGAAGCCTAGATACAGCAGGTCCCGGTGCAACTTGCGGAGACAGAGCTGAGCCAGTGCCGGGATCAGGTACCGTGTCGCAAAGACGTAGAGCTTGGCATGGAAGACCAAGTACGGCAGCTCATGTGGCGAGCGAGAGGACATGGCACTCGGAGGCCTGGTGCTGAGACAGGAGCGGGGGTCGATATAGTCGATGGCGGCGAACTCATCCCATAAGTTGCTTCCCTTCTCATGCACACGGGAGTACTGCTGCTTGGCAAAGGAGGTGTCAATCATCGGCCCAGTCAGTCTCCTACCACTGTGGTCGTGACCCGGCTGCTTCTCCTCCTCCGGGGCTTGTAGTGTGTGTTTCGCACCCGCCTTGTCTGCGTCGCTGGTTTCAGCTTCTGTTGGAGGAGTGGCAGCCGCCTGCCCCCAAGTCTCCGTGTACGGAGCCGACTCCGCAGGACCGGATTCCTCCACTGGGGCATGGTCTTGTTCCCATTGTTCTGTCACCATGTTGGTTTCCACAGCTGAGCCCCCCTCTTCCTCGGGTTTCAAGTTCTCAGGAGGTGGCGTGGAAGGAGGTGTCAGCTTAGGCGTCGCCTCCTCAGAAGCACCGCCCCTTTTCTTCTTGTTGTTCTTCTTGTTCTTCTTGCCTTTTTTGCCTTTGGCTGCTTCGTCGTCCGCCGCGTCCCAAGCGTCTTCCTCTTCCTTCCTATCCACGGCCGGGGTCATCGGCGGCTGATCACTGGGCCTCCTAGACTCTGATCTCAGTTCCTGCCCGGGATTTGCAGGCTCTTCATCTGGCGCAATTGCACATTCCCAATCGTCGTCGTCTTTACCGGAACCCGCATACACGCCTTCGCCGGGACGGTCGTGGGTCTCCCTTGAAGCAGTTCTAGGGGGTGTCGGGGCACGCGGAGGGATAGTCCGCACTGGACTGGTCGGGGAGTCCTTGGAGAACACTCCGCGAAAAGGATTACTCACGCGCTGATCGTCGCGGTCTTCCTCACGCGACCCTGGGGGAGGCACGCGGTAATCCCCGGTGTAGGCATACTCGCAGAAGGCGACAAAGGTCTCGACATCCTCGTCCTCAAGCACGGCGATGTGATGTTTCGATTCCCGGGTTTCCCCGCTATTCATAAGATGGTCCAGCGGCTGGGAGACATGACGGGCGAGACCAGCCTGGATGGTCAGTTTGGTGTGATTGGGACCGACCAGGAAGGTGAATGGCGGTGAATGGACGATGCTGTAGCCATCAGTGGCCGTCCTGTTAGGGTTGGCATGGGGCAGTAGATTGGAAGATGGGATGAAGGGATTTTGCTGGATGAGAGTGAGACACCTACCTACTATAATCTCGATCTGCCTCCATCGACGATGACCTCTGCCCTGAGATCAAGACACACCAGAGAGGGGGAGGGGGGAAGGGGAAAGGGGGAAGCGAAGTGATGGGAAGAAAAGAATGAAGGGAACTGAAAAGGAGAGGTAGCCACGCAGCTCAATCAAAATAGGTTGGAGCTGCTCATGCGACCCCTGATCGTGACTCTTTCATATATGCTGCACCGGGGCTTGCCTTGAACTGGCAGCCTGCTCACTATCGACCGTAATCGAACCCCCTCTCTTAGTTTTCTCGGCAATATCCTTAGCTTCCCCTCCACCGAAAGAGAAGCTAAAGCTACAAGCGCACGAGGCAAGTCCAACTGGGTCGAAAGAGCGATAGTCTGGCTACGTGGGCAATCGTGACGGGGGGGGAGATGTAAAGCAGCGAGTGGATTGACCGCCAACCTCTTCACGACGGTCGTCTTATCGCGCGAGCCACCGGGAAAGAAAGCTGCTCTGCGTCCCGGAGGGATCGGCCTGGTCATCCGAGCTCTGATCAGTCCTTGTTGTCTTTCTGTCTTTTCCTCGAGGTTGGCCGAAGGAGGGGGTGAAGGTTTTCCTGCATGGTTTGCAAGATGCACCGAGTGGGGGAGGAAATGTGCTCTCTCCATCTGGCCTCTCGTCTGCGAGTTCACTCCCCCTTTTCGAAGATCAATCAAAAAGATATTGCACCCTGCCTGCATGTTCTCACGCGAGACAAGGATTGAAAAAAGACCAACCAGAGGAGAGTTGGAGGGGCTGGCGAGGGAATGATGAGTTGTTGCCCGATGGATCGTTTGTTCCCAGCCTTTCTTTTCGTTTTTCGAGACCCAACGGCGGTCAACCCACGCTGGTTCGGCGTCCGGGGCCTGCAGGGGTCCTATTTCGGTCTGATATGGTCTTTGGTTGATAATCCTCCTGGAAATTTAGTGCCAATGTCAGAGAGGCCATGATTCGCTTTGTTCTTTCCTCTCCATGGGAAAAAGAAACAGACTCGCGGGATTTGCGTTTGAAGATCACTTTAAGTGTACTCTGCCGTGCCCTAACCAGTGACTGCACCATGCATGGAAACTGGTTACTTCGAATGATCGAAGCACAACACTAAGTTTTCAAATGAACTGATTTGATCTAATCTAACAGTGACAAGGTGTGATTCAACAGGCCACAGTCCCTACCAATAAGTAGACAACAATGACCACATACCCCCCGCCTTCACCACAACCAAATGGCACAAAGAGAGGAAAAGGTATCATTAATCCCATCAACACCATCTATGTCTATTCATCCACAAAATACCAAGGGAGGCATGGAAACTAGAGAGAGTAGTATACACAAGATAAACACATATTGTATGGATCCAACCCCATCTTCGATCAATGTACCAACCGAATCTCTCTCGTCCCGGGCTCCCACTCCCTCAGCCCTTCCCCAACACTATACCAGAACCGCAACTTGACACACTCGGTCCGCGCCGTCTCGATATCCCCACCGTCAAAGGCCTCCTCCAAGGCCCGCACGCACTCCTGGACCCGCTGCTCATTCTCCCGCTGCAACTCGCGGATCGTCTCCTCCGCCCCTGCGTCCGCCCCGACCTCTTCAATCGTCTCCTGTACCTCCATCACCTCCATGAGCGTCTGCGGGTCCAGCGCATGCTTCGTCGCCCCATCCTCCGCCGTGACGTCGATCCCGTGCATCTCGCGGAGGAGGTACTGCGCCCGCTGCAGGGGGTCCAGCAGTGTGCGGTATGCCTCGTTGATCCGCGCGGACAGAGCCTCGGCCTGCTGCTTCTGCGGACCCGAGGGGTATTTGTCCGGGTGGATGCGGGCCTGCCATTGGAGGAATTCGCGGCGCAAGTCCGCGGGGGAGATCGAGAACGGCGAGTGCGGTGGCGGGCCGGCGGGGAGCGTGTTCCGGAAGATCGTATAGTGGTTGGTTATGTCCGGGATCTCTGGGCCGGCGGCTGAGGTAGAGGACGAGAGGTAGGAGGGTGTAGTGAAGGAGCGAGTAGTGCTGGTAAGATTGGGAATTTCAAATCGTCGTAGTGGCGACGGTGAGAGCCGGAGATGGCACCGGGGATATGATATGGTTGTGGTAGATGAGCGCTGAGAGGCAGCTTGCAAACTGCTCTTGGAAGCTCCAGCTGAGAGTAGTCGTCCGGCTATACGCGTCGTTGCCATGATTATCGACAGGAAGAGATGGTAGATGAAGATGAGCAAAGAAGTTGAAGCTTCTTACTTCTCCGGGATTCTTGATTGATAATGGATAGACGGCCGGTTTTGCCCGCGGAATCGAGCGGGCGGTGAGATAAGACTTGAGGATTGTGGCTCACCGCCTGCCATGCATGGTGGAATCTGAAGACTGATTATCAGAATGATATCCTCACCAGAGCGCACTCCTACTGCCATGATACATAGCTTCGTAATTATTGTTATGTGGTCGTATATAGTACAGTACACTCAGGCTCATTCGATCCCCCAAAGCTTCACTGTCCGGTCGTGGCCACAGCTGGCAATCCATTGCGCATCCGCACTGATGTCGGTGCTAAGCACGTTGCCGGAGTGCCCACTGAGACTCTTCACCAATGACCAGTCATCTGCACTGAAGATGTTGACGTTCTTGTCGAAGCCACTGCTCACGAAGAATGTTCCCGATTTCTTTGGCTGCATGGGCCCTGGTGTCTCGCTGTCCACCTCCATGCGGCCCTCCGAAGGTAGGATGGAAGTGGCTTCGGCGCCCTTGTACCATCGCAAGTCGGACACGACACTCTTGTGGGCGCCGATGCCTCCGGTGTTGCGCACTTGCCGCAGATCCCAACACTTGACCCATCCGTCTCCAGACCCGGACAACACCCGGTACCCGTCGACACCCCAGTCCAACCCGTAAATCTCTCGAATGTGCCCCTCCAGAATCATCACAGTTCGGCCTGTTCGTAGATCCCAGATACGTCCGATGCTGTCCAGGCCGCCGCTCGCCATGAGTGAACCATCGTTGTTAAATGCCACTGCGTATACCTCACGCGAATGGCCCTCCTGTAGTAACAACTCCGCCGTCGTCTCCACATCCCACAATCGCCAAGTAGTATCGTAGGAGGCAGAAGCGACATACCGGCCAGACGGGTGGAATTCAGTCCGACAGACACGACCACTATGACCGGAAAGCGTCGCCAGCGGCTGCTCCTTGTCCAGTGACCACAGACACACATTGCCCTCGCCGCCACCTGAGACCAAATTCACCGTCGATTCCGAGGCGGTAGACGTCGCACCGGGAAACCAAGACAATCCACCAACCCTATCTGCATGTCCCTTAACAGACCATTTTTCTTCGAGGTTGGGCACCGTCAGCAATTTGATACCTCCTCCCCAGTTACCAGTCGCAATCATCTGCCCGTCAGGCGAGAAGCGACAAATGCTGACAGGTCGGTCACCCGCGATTTGGGAACCGTAGAGGTCAAATTGATGCAGCTTTTCCTTGATCGCTTTGCGATGTTTGATATGGGTCCGCAGAGGGATGGTCGATTCTTCACGCAGCCGGGCGACACGGGCCTTTGCGCGGGGAAGGGAGAATCGCGCAATCTCTTTCCGCGCCTTGAGAAGCTCCTCGGAGCCCTCTGTGTAAAACTCCTCCTGTTGCTCAGCCTCCTCATCCTCGTCTTCGTCGACTTCAGTTGTCCCCTCTCGCATTTCCACGTCGCCCTCAGCCGCCGCCGCCTCCTGTTTCTCCGCAAGATCGGTCAACAGCTCGCGCAAGCGGTCTCTACGATCCGCAGGTCCTTCGCCAAAGAGTGTGATTGGCTCGCCTAGTTCACGTAGTCGCGCGCGCACTCGAGTGTCGTCAGTGGGGACCGCCATCGCAGCGGCTCTCCTCTTGCGCTCAAACTGGGATAGGATGGCAGAGGCTCTTTCCGCCGGGATGCCGGCTGCAGAAGAGGGAAGGTCATAATTTCGGTCCACGGCTGTATAAGAAGATGGGACGTCAGCTTCAAGACGGGGTTCTGTCAGTATTCGTAAGGGCTACAAGCGATACGTACGTATATTTGCTAGGTCAATGCCCATATCCGTGTCCTGCAGTAGGAATGAATGTCAGTCAATGCGCCCAAGTAGACACAGTCGTCCTGTGAGCCGAAGATAGCGGAAGTAGTATATTCAGTCTGAACCAGACAGCAGCTGAGACGGGGGAAGGGGGGGGGGGGGGGGATGATCCTACCTGCGCCTCCTCCACGTACGCCTGTCGCGATGGGTGCATCATGATGGGCGACGAGATGAGGGGATTAGCCAAGAAATGCCCTCTCGATTAGACCAACACGTCAAAAGATTATCAATTCAGAACTGCAGTGATGGAGACAGTGAAGGTCATTTATACCAGAGATAGGGAGTGTAAGTAATAACAAAAGAATCTAGAGAGTTAAGAGGGAAGAAGAGGCCGAAGTTGGAGAGGAAGTGAAATGGCGGCATGTCCGTTTTGCAGAAGGCGGCGACAAGGCAAAGCAACCCGCCCGGTCAATCATCAACTGGAATCCCATCAACAGTCTCCATCCAAGTCCAGTCGCGCAGCAACTTTGTCACCTTCTTAAAGCTCTCTTGCCCATTCTAGGCTATCTCTCAGAAGCCCCCTGGAAGTGCACTGAATGAGCTTTTTCGTCCTGAATCGGCTCTGAAGACTGTCATGAACACATTCTGTGAATATCATGGCCCACTTCCGCCATCATCTACTATATTAATCAGGGTAATGAGAGCTGCGCTCAGGATCGTTGACCAGCCAACCAACATCTGTCAACATTCTTGACCTCATGTACCTAGACCTCCTCTTCATAAGTACTATTCGATCGCCGTATCAAAGCAGAAGCTACACTCGACGACAGGCTAGATGAGTGTCTCCAGCATGCCTCGCCCATCGTGAGGCGGTCGATGACGAGGGCGGGCGGTCACAGCAACTGCCGGCCTTTTGGCCCGAAATTTCCATCGGTTCTTCGTCTCTTCCTCTCAAACTCTCCCACTTACTTTTCTTTGTCTGTGTTTGTCGAGTCAGCCGGCGTTTTGGAACGGTTACCTTATTCCCTCTCCACTCCTCTTTGTGTATCTCACGCCAGGATCCGATCTCTGCTGGACGTCGCCATCGCCGACCGCTCGACCCCCTGTTACTGCTGGCCCAGACAGGATAGAAACTCTCCGGCTGCAATCCGGGATCTTTGCTGATGATCGCGTTGGCCTCCCACAGTAGAGCCTGCAGTTTGGCCTGCAGTAGCCTACACACCGTCGTCCGTGATCAACTCTTGGCCTCTTTTGCTACCGCAAAGAAATCGTCCCCTCGTCGATTGACCTCCCGGTCATCCTTCTGTCTTGCTCCCGTCGCACGAACTCCGCCGTCTGCCGATTATCGCCGAGCTTTCCATACAACCGCGCCGCTATCCTCTCAATCCTCCTCTCCTCGTATCTCTTACCGGGTCGCCGCTTCAGCCTCCGGCAAGGGCCGTCGCTTCCATCCGGCGAAGAACTCGTACGACTTCAATCCCGACCTCCACCCGGCAATCGGCGTTGCAACAGACACTCAAGATCCTGCACTGCGAAGGAAAAGGAGACCCGACAGCGGCGAGGATGCATTCTTCGTCAGCAAGGTCGGAAATGGCGACTCCGGGGCCATCGCATTCGCCGTAGCTGACGGAGTTGGCGGATGGGCAGAATCCCGCGTCGATCCGGCGGATTTCTCTCACGCCCTCTGTGGCTACATGGCGCAATCGGCCCTTGCCTGGGATGCACCAGCGGAGCAATTGCGGGCGAAGCACCTTCTCCAGGTGGGCTATGATCAGGTAGTAGCAGACAAGTCGATTCCAGCCGGTGGCAGCACCGCGTCCGTCGGTGTTGGCTTGGAAAATGGTCAGATTGAGTTGGCGAATCTCGGCGATTCCGGCTCGGTCCTTCTTCGACTCGCAGCTGTGCACCATTACTCGGTGCCGCAAACTCACGGGTTCAATACTCCGTACCAACTCAGCATCATCCCTCCCCGGATGCGCGCCCAGGCGTCCATCTTCGGCGGTGCCTTCCTTGAAGACTTCCCGCGCGACGCGGCCGTCACCAACCTTCAGATGCAGCACGGAGACGTCCTCGTGTTAGCCACCGACGGAGTCTTCGACAACCTCAACAACCAAGATATCCTCAAACTGGTGTCCAGCCGCATGGTCCTTACGGGCGCCTGGACCTCCACCGAGGAGGCCGGGATCCAGCCCTCGGCGGATCTGCACCAACTCACCGGTCCCGAAGGCCTGGCGCCGCTTCTCCCCGCATCCTCTCCCTCACCCTCCACCTCGTCGACCTCCTCCACTTCCTCTGCTTCCTCTTCCTCCTCCGCCAGCACATCCTCATCCAGTAAATCCGCCTCCCCAAACGCCCGGGACCAAGTATACAGCCTCCAATCCTTAATAGCAGCCACCATCGCCGGCGAAGCCAAGCTAGCAAGCATGGACGTGCGTCGCGACGGGCCCTTTGCCAAAGAGGCTCAACGCTATTACCCGGGAGACTGGTACCGCGGCGGCAAGGTCGACGACATCTCAGTCGTGTGTGTCATTGCGGTGGAAGAGGGATACTCCGGCCCATCCCCGTCAACAGCCAACTAGTCCCTCCTCCACATCCCAACAACCTCTTCCCTTCTTTCTCCGCCCAACAAATAACTATTTCATGATGGCCCTTCAACCCATCCACCCATTCCCCCCGGCGTTCGGTTCACTGCAAAACAAGATATACAGCATCTATATACGGATAGAAATCAGTTTACCATCCATACTTTCCACTAATTACCCCCCCACCCCACATTTGGTCCTCGGTCTTTTTGGGAACCCGGCGCTGGGCATGCTACACACACATACATACATATACCTATTTTACCTACGGAGTATTCTATCTCCCCTTGCGTCCATAACTACTCACATGGAGTGTGGTGGTGTCCTTTGTTTATAACCCCCTCCTTCTTTACTTTGTCTTGTCTATACCCCAACAATAACAACAGTGATCAATCCATGCGGATCGAGACGAGCTTTCTTTTCTATGTTCTTTGCGAATTACAACTCTGGTGGATGGAGAATATGTCTTTTGGATTATTTGTTAGCCATTCGCGTAGCATCGCATGACTGTACGGCGGCATGGTCTTCTGGACGGAGAGTGCCGTTAGGTACATCCCAGCAATTGCCACGAGAGCCAGCCAGCCACCTACATCTGTATTCTAGATGTTTGGCACGACAGACATCAAAGAAGAAAGAAATCCGACTTCATTGGGCCGAGAAATTAACTTGAAACAACAATGGACTGCATTCACACACGCACACACGCACACACGCACCATGTCCCCCTTTGGGGGGAAAGACAAAGTCAAAATCACTATCAAAATCCTGAAATAAACCCCCCCAGGACCAGGTAGATAGAAGAACAACCCGTACACAGAGAGAAAGAAACAAGGGGTGGGTCTGAATACACCACCCACCCAGCCCCGCGCAACGAGAGAGACTACCAGATGCAATGGAAACACCCCGGGCAGCAAGATAAAGTCGTCAAGGACAAAATCGGCCAGCGGAAAAAGAAGCAGGCACGAGAAAGCAAGCAGGAGCCAGGTCTCTGGAGGAATAGGGCGGGATCCGCTAGCCCAAGAACAGCACAAGATTTCGAATAAGCAAATTGAATGCGCTTGAGAGCGAACGATGAGACGTCGGGAAACCTCAAGTTCATCTTCCGCGACTTCTTATCAAACCCACCAGCCGGAGTCGATGTAGTCGAGTCTTACTCTGGTCGGAGAAGTAAGATAAGCAAGGCTTCTGGAGAAAAATGTACAAAACCCAGGAGTACAGATCGCAATCGAATATTCATGGGAGCAAGAGAGAGATGCACGTTCAACGGCTATTTTTCATTTCGCTGTCAATTTTCGACTCTCATGGGCATTGGAATTCCAAAACAAGAAATGGTAGACTGGATGATAAGCAACAGAGAGGGGTTGTAGAGACAAATAAGAAACGGTGACGACACAAGATCCCAAAGGCTAAATAGTAGGAGAGGTGCTGCACAGATGGAACAGGATGTTCAGAAAAGCCTTGCGAAAATCAGCGGGAAAGCAAATAAGAGGCACTCATAAACAAAGACGGTTTTGTTCTTTTAAGCAGCTGCCTCCGCAGGCTTCTCCTCTGTCTTCACTGCCTCTGCAGCCGACTTCTCTTCGGCTGTCTTCTCATCTTCCTTCTCTGCCGATGTCTCTTCGGCCTTCAAGGTGGGTTTCTCAACATCTTCCTTGACCGGCTCGGGAGCATCTGATTTCTCCCTTGCATCAGCATCAGTCATTGGCTCGTCCTGGGGCTCAGATTTGCTCTCCTTGGATTCATCTTCTTTCTCGATTTCGGTATCGGCCTTGACGGGCGTCTCCACGCTGCTCTCCTTGTGAACGCCATTCGCCCTGGGCTTGTCCTCTTTGTCCTTGTGCTCAGAAGGACCGGTGGTGTCAGCATCAAGAACATTCTTCCACTTGGACAAAATGTTGATGGCGCGTTGGCGGAACTGGAATTCCTCGTCCCGAGGAATAGAGCTGAGCTTAACGATCATCTTCAACACCTTGTTGATCTTGGTCGCACGAATGATCGACACTTCCAGATCAGTGTGCTTCTCCAGTTTGCTGAAGTAACCCGACATAGCAGTCATCTCCTCCTCGGCAGGTGGGAGTTCGCGGGAGATGAAGCCCTTCTGAAGCTTGTGGCGGATGAAGAGAACTACGTGGTGTGAGCAAATCTTCCGCCAATCACGATCTTGCAATTTGGGCACTTACTCTCTTTCTCCTTCTTCTCCTTGAGTTCCTCCTGGTTGACCTTCTTCTCGGGTTCCTTGGAAGCCGGACGAGAATCTTCGCCTTCATCACTTGCAGCAGCCTTGCCGGCCTTCTTGGTGCTGGCGGTTTGCTTGGCCTTGCTAGAAGCAGGAGCCTTCTTTACAGACTCATTGGTCGGGGTTTTGGGCGTCGTCAACTTCAATTTAGTGGTGGTCTTGGGTGTCTTTGCGGGCTGTTAACGACCGCGAAGGGAAAGTGTCAGTTTGTGTTACCTGCCGCTGTGTCGTTCAAATGGATCAGTCCCTCACTCACCTTCTCATCAGCTGTAGTATCAGCTTCAGCATCCTTCTTCCGCTTCTTGGAGCTCTTCGGCTTGTGTTCCTCCTCATCAGCATCCTCCATCTCGACATCTTCGTCATCAACGACGTCCATGCTCTTGCGCTTGCTCTTCTTTGCTTCTCTGGCAGCTTTAGCAGCGGCCTTCGCAGCGGCCTGAGCTTCCTTCTCCTCATGTTCTTGCTCAAGCGCACGCTGGTGGTCGGCCAGAAGCTCCTTGAAGTGCTGGAGATCGTGACCTTCACTACCGACGGCATAGGCAGACAGCAACAGTTTGCTCTTACCCTTCTCTGATACTTCCTTGCAGGTGGCAGGATCGAGAGGGGTCAGGTCTGTGTTGGGGACCCAGGCGCTAAAGCGGTGTTAGACAGATCACGGCGGAGGGAGCACAATTGTAAGGCAGAAACGCCAAGCGTTACTCACAATTCATTGGTCTCGAAGAACATGACCGGGAAAGTTCGCTCGTGCGCGCGCTTGCCACCTTCAGCGTAGTCCTCTCTGATGGTCCCATCTTCACGCTGAGCGGTCACGGGACGCGTTTCCAGCAGAGTCTGAGGAAGCATCTCTTCATCACAAATAATGGAAGGCCATGGTGGGTAGCTCCTCAGACGCGCGAGGAAATAGTCACCAGGTTTCGCGTCGAGGTGCAGGACGCGAACTTGCGACTTCTTTCTGCTCAATGAACCTCCGGTAGATTTGCGCCGCGAGGCGGATGATTTCTTGGCCGAGGCGGGTGTTCCGTTGGCCTCCGATGCTGGGGCGGCTTTGGCTTCGGGCTCTGCAGGGGAGGCTGCGCCATCGGCGGGTTCCTTCGCGTCGACAAGCTCAGAGGGGGTAGCGGGCTTTTCAGCTTCAGTTGTCTCTTTTTTCTCCTCAGAAGCAGACGCAGGCTCTATATGTGGGTGATGGAAGATGTTAGGAAGTGTCACATATACGAGGGCTTGGCTTGGTTGGAGATCCCTTGTGGAGAATCAAGCCAGCGCAAGCCAAGATCAGACGAGTATTTACCTGAAGACTTCTCATCCGAACCATTGGGTTCCTTCTCTTCCTTGTCCTTGGACTGCTCTGGCGCCGAGTCCACAGGAGTGGATTGGGTCTCGGCAGGCGCGCGCTCGACGGACTCAGCAGCTTCGGGAGCGGGCGCGGAGGCAGCAGGAGACTCCTCGGCCATGATGCGCTAGGGATCAGATGACGAGTCGACGGATGAGATAATATATCAGTAGGAGATGAAGATAAGAACCTTCCGATGATAGAATGAGATGGGGTGGGAAGGGGGGGGTGGGAGGTCGAAGTGGGATTTGGTTGGGGGGAGGGGGAAGAGTGAGGTGAGTGAGTGAGAGGGAGGGAGAGAGAGAGCGAGAGAGAAGTGGTGGAGAAGGTCGCGACGCCGGGAGGCGGGAAGTCGAACAACGCGTTGCACTTCTTGGGGGGAAGGGAAAGCGACACTGCCAGACCGCAAATGACGCAAACACTTCAACAGCCACAACCTTCTCAAGACTAGAGATCAACCACAACGGTCGGTCGCGCTGGTTCGGATGTCAATCAGATAGACTCTATCTGAATCACGAAGCTTTCTTCGGTCAAGCTGCTGTAATAGCTGTGCTTGTTGTAGTGGAGTAGTCGAGTGCTAGTCACTAATTCTTCCCGAGGTCACGGCACCCGAGGTCACAACACGGCTCTGAACGATAGATAGGTGTAGATGAAGCTATCGTGTTTCAGACAAGATGGTAATCAGGGGTCGAGGGACGATGATTGTGTCTGGGGAAATTCTGCCGGTTCACGACTGTGACGCGAGCACACACGCACACCACCAGCGGCACGAGACGATCTGCCAGCTGCTCGTAGACCGTACTTGCTGCTGCACTACCGACTTCAACACAACAACGACAACAGCACGCGGATAAGATCGTGCTTAAATTAGGCGGCGGGTGGTGGTCCTTCTGCTGAAGTTCAATAGTCGACGAGACCGGATATAGACGGAATCGCTGTTGGTGGCAGTGGAGGAGTCCTTTCCCAGTCTGACCAACCTCGTAGATTACTGCCTCCCTCGGTAGACCCAAAGACTCGGGTGCAAGTGGCAGTGAGGAAATCTGGCTGAAGAGTTTAGAAGGTGATGCAGGAGTAATAGGGAGGTTGCGGACTTACCTGGTGGCACCCTCGTCAAGCCAAGAGCGACTGAACGCGAAGAGGAGGTCGAGCAACACCGAGAAACCCCGCGGTCGCAAGGATCTGCTCTGCAAGGTAAAGAGCAGGGAAATTCACCACGGCTCACGTAACAAAGACAGAATGTCTTATTTCTATCTACCGATATGATTGATGAGGAATTAGTGGACAACTAAGAGAGCAAAAAGGAGTGATGGGGTTGGGTTTGGACGTGAGGAAGGGTGGAAGAAGAGTAAGTAGTAAGTAGAAGTAGTAGCAGAAGTAGTAATCCATAATGGTCAATCAAGAATGGAGAAATCTCCCTCCCCAGACCATACAAACTACACACGCACTATTCATTCAGATTCCCTCCTCCATCCCAAATATCACACCAGTTCACCAATTTACCACTGCACAGGAGATTTGAAAGCTTTCACTGAGTTGAAATTCGAGATCTCACTTGCAGTCACCAAGCGACCCGTCTTCATTATCCTGTCCCGGCTATCCTTATATACTTCTCCAGATGAGCCGGAGAGATGTTGTGGTATCGACCCCACCACTCCTTCCCCCATAGCACACATTATTGGCGCTGGAGATATGATCAACTTTCAGTCCTTCGAAATTCTATTCGGCTAATATGCGCAAAACCACTTGTCTACCGCCAATCATGTCCATGTAAGGTCTAAGCTCGTACAATCACGAGTAAACAACAGAAAGAAAGAAAAAAGAAAGTCAGGTATTCATACTTGCATTATTTCCTAAGGAAACTTGTATATACTCTGAAAGGACTGCGTCAATTGCAGTGACATTGATGGACGTAATGAAACGGCCAAATAATAAATTGAGGAAGCATATTAGCGGGGAGTCATCGAGGTCATGGTTCGGAGTGGGGTTCATAGACATTAATGTTGCATATGCAAGGGTATCATCAAACTCTAGGACAGGCAGAGTAGGCAGGAGGGGATCACCCCCGACTGTCGCTGCATTAAGGGAGAGAGGTGTGTTCGGAAATGCCATCGTCGACCCAGCCGACTGCGTCTTCGAGTCCGTCCGTGGTGTTCGATGCCGGCTTGTGAATACGAACCACCCGCAGAAAGTAATCTTCCAGGGGTAGCAGATTCAACAGGATTCCGTTGAATCTCCATCCGAGAGCACATACCGTTGCACCGGCAATCGCGTCCAAGATAAAGTGGTTCGCGGTGGCAACGATAGCGGCCAGAATCACAAAAGGATAGGCAAACCCCAGAGCGAGACAGCCCAGCCGACGCCACGAAGGAAGTTGCAGCTTCAAAGGACCAATGGCCACGCGGGTGCGGCGACGCTGATGTGGCGGCAGCGGGATGGTCATGATGGTGAGACCAATCATAAGGGAGTAGCCAAAGTGCAACGACGGCATGGCGGCTAGAATATAGTCAGTGACATCGTGCAAAACTAGCCCAGGATCCATTGCTGGACTTCAAGACCCATCAAGACCACAAGACTTACCATACTGATTGCAGAAGCGATTCTCGGTCCAGACGCTGCCCGCCCCGTTGACTCCGTGCACAGTATCAACAAAGCCGTAACTACGGCCCAAGGCTGCGTCTGGCCCCTTCGCGTCCTTGTCGCTCAGCAGACGAGGCGGCATACAGGGCCACAGAGTGAAAACCACAAAGGCAAGCAGGTTGCACACGGCAAGAGTTCGACGCCGGGCCTGGTATAGATGAGACCCCGCGGGTGAGCCGCTCACAAGCCCGCGCGGTTTTCCTGGTTGCGACTCATCGGATCGGTTCCTTGTGATGGTGAAATAGTAAAGCCAGACGAGAAAGGCGATTGTTCCGGGAATGTGAATGAACGAATAGATCCAGTTGGTCCAGGTCATGAGAGTGGGATGGCGGAGAAAGTATTTTTGGATCGAAACCTCCCAAAACAAACCCAGTGCCTCCTCGATTTGTATCAATCGTAGCGCATGTTTGCGCGCCACATCGACCGTATCATCTTTAAGAGTGACAGCAGTGAAAGCCCGACCCAGCTGATATGTCTGTTCCCAGTAGGTTAGTCTTCCGGTCTGAGTCCCCAGCAGGTATCCGGGTTCAAACATACCCAGTACACAAGCGCCCAGTACCAGCACTCGACAAGAAAGGGAAATTTGCGGAGCAAGCGACTGAGTAACCGATCATGAAAAACAGTGGTGTCTGGAGACGTCACTTCGAAGGTCGAGTTGAAGAACCCGATTTGTCTCTTGCGCCAACCGGTCTGGCCGATCTGCGGGAGCGACGAAGAAGATGAAGAACGGCGGTTCAGTAGAGTATCCTTGACAGTTGGGGTCGACACGCCGGACTCAATTGCGCTAGGAGAAGAATCACGCGACACGACATTGGAAGTGCGACGAGGTCTCCGGGGAGGAAATGACCCTGTACTTCGGTTGATCCAAGTGCCTCCGAAGAGGAGGACGATGACGGTCAGAGGTTCTAGAATAGCCCCTGCGCCCATGATGAATGGAGGCGGAAAAGGAATGCGCTGGTCAGGCTAGTGGCGGAAGAATGATCCAGGACCAAGAGAGAGGAATAAGACTAATTTTCTAGGCGAGGCGGATGGAGGGAATGTCGTGGTTCGAGATGATGAGCGGCTGTGATAGAATAAGCGGCTGAAAAGAAAGGAAGTTAAGATGCGCGAGAGGGTGCTAGCATTATAGGTACAGGTATCGAGGGACTCGGGAGGAAAGGTCAGAGAAGAAGGGATGTGATTTGAAGCGAGGTAAGCTGTAAGATGAGAAGGATGGGGGAAAAGGAAACTGGGAAAGATGTCACGCTACCTGCTGGTTGAGTCGCTGATTATGTAGGTATGTATGTACAGTATGTACGGGAGGGGTATTCATGTAGGTTGTAGGTACCTAACTTCCACTTACGTAGTCTGGGCACTTCTCTTGGTTCAGGGCAAGTCCATGCTTTAAGTAACTTAGTATTTTAAGTATAAGAAAGTCAAAAGGTAAGAAAGAGCTTTGAACTTGGCGAGATAGTACGATACGTACTTGGACCCAGTCAAGTTCCAAGTGGGGGGTGGGGGGGAGGAGAAGGAGGAGGAAGGGGAACCATGCGAGGTGAAAGAAGCTCAATAACAAGAACTGCTCACCCAAGCAGAAAGAGGGAGGCTTGACCGGTAGCTATTCTGTGCATATGTCGTGACAATTAACACATGCTGGAGCCAGGGAAGGGCAACCAAGGAAAGCAGGCGACCGCTATAGATTAGCGGTTAGGAGTTATCGGAGCTACCGGAAGCCGGGTGTTTTTTTTTTTTTTTTTTTTTTTTCTTTTGAGACATCGGGTTTCCAGACCCTAGTCTACCTTGGCAAGGTAGTACTTGTATATGACTGGCTCGTCCTGGGTTGAGTGAAGAGATTGTGATAGATTCCACCTTCTATGGGCAATAATGAAAAGTACAAGTCATATCTCTTATTGTCCGGGTTCATGACTCTCGGGCTTGCTTTGTAGGACTACCCGAAGTATAACCACAATTGCAATGGGGAAGTGACTGGAGCTATGATCCATCCATGATGATGGCCAACACATCTCGAGTAGTTCAGCGGTGAAAGAATCTCCAACTGAGTAAGGTATGTTGTGAATGGATGGTCAGCCCTAAGTACATACCTCCCTGTAGGATACCCAAGTAGTACTAACTAGTAGGTAAGGTACTCGGTATCGACTAGTAACCTTATAATACAGGACGTACTCATGTAAGCTGGTCGCCCCACTGCCAATCCGAGGAAAACGAGGGAAGCAACCAATGGTGGGTGGAGCGGGATCTTGCAGCAGGGCAGCTGCTTTTTTTTCCCCAAACCAGGTAAGACGTCACATGGCTGGGTGGAGGGATTACTCACAGTGCTAATTGTTGATTTGTGATCCTCCTCAATCCTCATCATAGCATTGCATGCCCGTACATATATGTATCTCGTATAATTGCACTGTACCTATAGTATAGTAGTACAGTATGTACATATGTGAGGTTGCAGGCGTGTACGAAACTCGACCCAGTAGCAGAGAGAGAGAGGCCTATGCGTCGATCAGTGAACATCACCTCCCCGGATTGTTCAGCCTTGTCCAGCCTTGTCTTGCCCAACAGTACTCACTGGTACAGTACTGTAAGTACAGTACTACTACAAATACTCATGGTCACCCAAGTCAACTTCGCTCAGTAGTCGGCAGTTTTCAAGCCACTCAATCCGAACAGTGCCTTGCTATCGACTCAATTACTGTACTCGCCTGAAGCGTTCCAGTTATTGCTGTTACACATCGGACCAAGTTACCAAGTACTTTACGTACGAGGGAAAAACACCCGTGCTTATTAGCGTCTGCATCTTTACCGAGTGCGTACAGTACGTAGCAGATGATTTTTCGCATCGGCCGCGGCTGGAGCCACTTGGTCCGCTTCCGAGCGCCCGCCCAAGCTTGGCAAACCGCCAAAACTACCTCCGAATGGGCAAATCCCCAAAGGCCCTGCCAATGCGATCGGATGGAGGATAAGGCCTTGTGTGCATTAATAATGTCAAGTGTCGGCATCGGAACTCAGCTCGTCCGCTCCCAGTTTCCGCTGACGCCGAACTCCGTGCAAGTGAAGCTCAGTCAGCGGTTATCTCTAAGTGGTTCCATCCTGAGAGTGAATCACGAATCCATCCGGGGATCGAACTATTCTTGATTGATCATGGATCCATGATTCCAACTGGTTTGATTGCCAAAACCGGCTCACCACCAAGGTTCAGTGCCGCGGCCCAGATCCGAATCCGTCGAAGACCCTTCGTTCGGCCTTACTGACTAATATTGAAAAGATTGACCCGCCCTGATGATCCAGGGTGCCTGCCAAGTACAGCATTTCAGCAGGAGAACCAAGCTTGTTTCTCGTGAGAAGTACTTAAAACAATTGGGGTAACTTCATTAAACTTGCTACTTATCATCTGATACATTATTAAAAGGAGCATATTTCCTTCAGAGCCAGGAATTGGTCGGGAAATTGTCCCATACTAATGACGTCACGCTATCGTTAGCTGTTATTGTTAAACAATCGCCACTCTTGTTACACTGTGCTCCTTGTCCGAGGGTTTGCGGTCTCCTAATCCAAAGAATTCCAGAACTCTTGGATCAGTGTTCACTGGGTAGAGAAGCCCCAGACAATAGATTGACATGCCCTCGAGCCAATCACCTCCTGCCTCTCACCAAGGAGGAGGATGAGATATTGTTTACGTCAACCTTCAACCTCGGTCCGCTAAATTGAGCTGCAACCAGTACCCCGTACAGTATTGACCACAACGCAATTGATTGTTGAGCACTTCACCTCTCTACTGCTGTCACTTCGCAATAGAGAGCCTTAGCCTTTCTGTATATTCGATACTCACCATCATAATGTTTACATCGCTCCCTCGCGTCGCTCCTACCTTCTCTTTGCGAAGTAATATCAATTTTGCGTTGCGGCAGCTCCCTAGCGCCTCGGCCTCGGTGTCGGTATTGCCTACAAGATGTTCGTCTTCCACCACAAAGAAAGAGATCACACTGCTCCAGGATAAGAAAAATGGATTCGGGTTTGCACGGTCAAATCCCAGACCACCCAAACCGAGAACCAAGGGCGTCACCGAGATCAGAGGCCCATACTATACTGTATGCCGACTACCAAGCCGTAGTCCTTAACATATTTGGGGTGCTATGTGCTTCTAAAGACCCATAAGGAGCTGATTAGAAGTACAGGTCATGGGGAAACGATACCTAGCAGATGTGCTGGAGACGTGAGCCGTTCGACCGTGTAAACATTGGAGAGATTTTGCTGCTGACAACTACCACCGAAAGCATGGGAACCCATGTGGACGGCTTGAAGTTTGCAGGAGGTAATCACCTCCAGCTACTCACCTTGCTCAGACGATAGAGGCTAAGCTAGTCAAATAGGGTCGTTCTCTCTCTTTCCAGAGAGACCATTGAGGGAGTTGATCGATCTCGCTCACGATCACGGAGTCTATGTCTCCACAGTAAGCCAGAATAGATGATATTGTTGTCTTTCTGAGTGCTAGCTAAACACTGGTTAGGGCGGTTGGGCTGAGCATCTACTCACGCATCCCGATGCAAACGCCGTGTTTGATAAGTACCTTCGCAAGTGCAAGGACCTTGGGTGCGTATACTCCCATCTAAACGAGGCCAGCTACCCGTCTCTTCGACACGTCTAATCCATTATCTCTACTTTAGGTTCGATGTCATCGAGCTCTCATCGGGCTTTTTATCTATCCCAGAAGAAGACTGGCTCCGCCTTGTTGATAAGGTCCACTCCTACAAGTTGAAAGCGAAGCCCGAGTTAGGGATTCAGTTTGGTGCGGGGGGCGACACCCCCGCGGCAGGGTTGGAAGCCATGGGCACGTCTGATCCGTCGAAGCTGGTGAACTTGGGCCGTAAATTCCTCGACGCAGGCGTCGAGCGCTTGATGATCGAGTCGGAGGGCATCACGGAGAATGTGGAGTCGTGGCGGACCGATGTGGTATCGAAGATCATGAAAGAGCTTCCCTCGGAAGGCGTCATGTTCGAGGCAGCAGACCCGAAGGTCTTCAACTGGTACATTCGAGAATTTGGCATTGATGTCAACCTGTTCGTCGACCACAGTCAGATAGTGCAGTTGTCGTGCTTGCGCCATGGGATTTGGGGCACGGCCGACACCTGGGGGAAGGTTGTCTCTTTCCGACCTGAGTAATGCTGTAATGTGAGGTTAATGGCACGGCTGGTCGCGGTGTTTAGTAGTCATATTTGCACTATACGTGCATCTGGTGAACAATGGTCCTTCTGCAGATTGTACGCCATATATCGCGTGTCCGAAAGGGTAGGCCAGTCACGATCATGAATCCATGATAGCTTGGGAGGTAAAGGAGAAGTTGATCGGGGGAGCGCACGTCATTACCCGATGTAGCCAAGTTCGCATCGTGCAGCTGAGTCATGCACGGAAAGATCCATTAGTTATCCGTTATCCATTATCCATGATCCATGATCCATTTTCCCCCCCTCTTCTCTCCGTCTGGTTCAAGGCTCCTCCGCCGAACCCCAACTTTCCACCGCAATTCGGGGAAAAAAGGCAATGCTGGCTGTGCTGTCGATCTCGCTTCCCAGCAAGCTTTCACGCGTCTCACTGGTACAGGACTCTCCGTCCACTGCAGATTGCCCGAGCTAGCGAACAGGAGATGTTCCACGCCACTGTTGACTAGTTTAGTCTGGGTTTCCAGCTTAAGCCCATCACTAGCCGATCTAGTTAGCTAGCCTGCTGCTTACGCCCAGAGCCTAAAGGGATCCTCACTTTTTCCCGCCTGCCTGCCTGCCTTGCATCCTTTCTCTAGCGCCATCCCGCGCATTCGACTGCTCGAATCAAGCTTCTCTGAGTACATGCTTCATTATGCCGCGGGCAAGCACGGCTCCCGGTGCTCGACTCCGGTGCAGAAGAGCTTGCGATAGTTGCAAGCGACGGAAGCAGAAATGCAACGGAGAGCAGCCATGTACAATCTGCGTCCAACGTCGCAAAGAGTCCGAATGTCATTTCTCCGACAAGCCCGCTCGCTTGCTCAAGCCAAGCAACAACAACCCGAAAGAGACCATGCTTCTCAGCGAACACCTCGTCCCAACCCCGCAGCGGCAGACGGCCATGGACCGACTTCTGAACTCGCTCGAAGACCGTAGTGCAACCTTGGAACAACAGGCGACGGACGATAAGGATGGTACAGCTCCGGTGCCAAAGGTGGCTAGGCTTTTGCGTGACGGACAGGGAAAATTCATGTACATTGGTGATTCTGCAAGCTTATCCTTCTTACAGAGTGTCCGTCGCATCGTCTCCTCGTCGATCGGCCGCTGTGATTTCACGGAAGATAACTCGCGACATTCAATGCTGGAGGCTTTCCAAAATAGTTCTTCGACACAGACAGGGCCCTTGATCGCGCCTCCCAGCAACGAGGAGGCTCAGCGGTTGGCGCGTCAATACGTTCTTGCTACCGGCCCACTCCTAGACCTTTTTGATCTCAACGAATTTCATCCGCGCCTTGCCAACTGGGTGGGAAACCCCACTGGTGACGAAGACACGGTCAGCTCGATCTTCTACCTGGTGCTCGCGATTGGCGCACAGGTGTCAGACACCAACCAGAACCTGGCAGAACAATACTTCATCAGTGGACGTCAATTAGCGTTCTCTGCATTCACTGAAACCCCTAGCATCTACACTATTCAGTCCTATGTCTTGATATCCATGTACATGCTTGGTGCATGTCGGCGCAATGGCGCGTTTATGAACCTTGGTATCGCGCTCCGGGCGGCGTATGCGGTCGGCATCCATAGGAAAGATGCAAATTCGCTGTTCTGCACTCGAGAGCGACGGGCCCGCGAGCGCGTCTGGAAGAGTCTTCGCATGATGGACCTCTACCTCAGTGCCTCTTTAGGACGGCCGCCGGCTACCTTGGACTTCGATTATGACCTTCGCGAAGATGGTCTTCCGGCGGATCAACAACGTCTCGAACCTGAAGAACAGTTATCTTTGACCGTCGTTTCTCTGTGCCGCATCTTCGAACGGATTTTGACCGAAGTCTATATGCGGCAGGTAGTGTCGATCACCGTGGCTGATGCTATCTCGAACCAACATCGAACCTGGGTCCGTAACCTGCCTATGTTTCTGCAGGTGCAGACGGAACGGCTAGAATCAAAGAATCTAGAAGAAACCTTGGCCGCAGCACATGTATTCGGGTCGTACTACTGGTCGATCATTCTTCTGACTCGTCCGTTTCTTGTTTTTCGGGTCTCGCAATATGTGCGAAGTAAATCCGACTCTACAAGCTCCGGCGACACCAGGGCCACCAATTCCCGTATCGCGCTCTTTGCCGACGCATGCGTCTACTCAGCCTTACGAGGTCTCAACATTGTGGATGGCCTTGCTCGATACAGCAATCTCCCCCGCAGGTTGCCCTTCCTGATCAACTCCGTCTTCAACTCAGCCGTAGTGCTAGGCGCAGCATTCTTTGCAGACTACGACAACCTACTCCCGCTGGAGGAAGGGATGGAAAAGGCCGAACGGTTCCTTGGCTTGTTCGTGCCGCATGATCCTCATGCATGTCGCTTCTACCAGATCATCAAGTATCTCCGTGCAGCAGTGGCCGAGTATGTCCGTCGACGAAATCGTCAGTGGATGGAGCGCCGTAGTCGTCAAGTGGACCAGCTTTTCGGCCAGGTCGGCACTACGGACGAGCCCTCGGCCGCAGCAGACGCCAATACTCCGTCAAGCCGACGCGGCGATCAAGCAGCCGTCTTGTCACCGCTCTCTCCTGAGAAAGTGACCGGGGGAACAGCCCTACCCCATTCCTCCAACATAACTACCGCCACCCCCGCGGCTCCAGGCCAGGTGGATAACGACATTTGGGAGACCTTGTATGGCACCCAGGGCGCACCTCCTCTTCCATATGATACGGCCGTCTCTACGCTCACCACGACGGGAATTCCCATCGGTTGTTCCCCGGGCGGGACCATTCCGTCCGGTGCTTTACCTTCTGATGTCCCGGGTGGCCATACGCCGCTGTCTGATGTGATCTTGCCGGACAATGGCCTTTTGTATATGGCGGAGGATCTTCCCGTGTTCGGACTCTGGGAAGACGCTTAGGTTGGGGGATCTTGGCTGTTTCGGCCGTACAATCTTTTGGTGCACACTCCATTGAGTGTACAAATTCGCCAGCGCTCTTCCTATCTGTCTATTAGGACAGGTTATTTACGACATCTTCATGAACATAGCACGCCCGACTCCCATCATCTGGCGTTTCTGGATCTCGAACCTGGCGTTCAGACGATTAGCGTTGGGGTTGATTCCATGTATATCCTATTTATCTTTACTTCTGTCTGTACATACCTACCTTCACGCAGATAGCGAATCCATGCATTTACATAGTGGCCCGTCCTGTCCTATTTGGAAGATCATGTGATAATCAAATCAGAGCATCAGGCTCGGATCTGGGTCCAATCAACGAACTCGGAGCCGTGATGTCTGGCCACATACAATCGAACTCCAACAGCAACAGCCAACCCTGCGAGCCGCGGGAATTCAGAAATCACCAAATGTCTAAGAACGAAGCACACGCCCCCCATCCAGTCTTCTCAACACCCCTCCCAGGGTGACAACATATTCCAGATGACATACCCATCCCCTCTTTCAAGTCGAACTCTCCCCGCATTCACCCCTACACAACTCCCTCTATTATCTCCCACCAACCCAAGACACATCCCAACTCACGATGCCCCCCTCCCCCCTTTGCCACACAGCACCACCCGAGAAAGGTCCCCCTAGTGCTTGGCCGTAAAATCATCCAGGGGGATAACCACCGCCGCCGCATGCCACGTGCTGCCCCCGTCCACGGTCGAGAACCCAGGCGGACTGGTCGTCGCGCCCACCAGGGCCAACGTCTGCCCGAACAGCGGATCGGCCTCACTGAGGACGATGGTGAGGTTGGTCCAGCCTACCGTGCAGAGATAGTCAGCTATCTGGGAATAAAACTCCACGTGTGCTTTCCCCTCTCCCCCTCCCCCTCCACACGAACAGGATATACGAACAGTGAGGGGGTAAAGCGGCAGGAGCAAGAGTGGGAAAACGCACGGTAACTCGGCAACGAGCCACACGTGCCCGAGCCGGTGTAGCATTCGTCGGCGGAGTAGAGGTACCGCAGGGGGTTGGAGAGGGGGTCGGTCTGGTGGGAGACGCGGTGGCCGTCGACGCGGACGGATTGGTGGACTTGGTTGTTGTGGACGGTGACTGTTTCGCTTCGGGAGTCTCCGATTGGGGAGGTTGGGTTGGTTAGTTCGATCGATTGATGGTTCAGTCGGTCAGGAGGGTTGGGGTCTTCTTTTACTCTCTTCGCTGACACCCAACCAAACCGTAAAGATGGGAAGGAATCGGAAGGAGTCTGAAGGGAGGGAGGGAAAAAGGGGGGGAAAAGGGACCAACTGACTCTCGAAATCGACCGGCGCATCCCTCGCCACGGGCACGTACGCCTGCGCCACTTGTCCGGCTAGCATGAGGCATGAATCAGCGATACCGTCTCGAGAAACAGTTATCTACTCACCCGGAGACACGGCATAGAGAAAGGGGAGGACACTCACCAGACGTATACGTACTCGCAGCCACGCACCACTCGTCCGCACCAGCCGAGCAGCCCCTAAAGCACAGACGAACCACACTCCATATCAGCGTCCCCCCATACGGACAATCCCAGCCCTAACGCACACGGTAGATACAGGGGCCACAGATCCTGTAGACACAACACGACAGAAACATACTGGGACTTCTGATCCGGCGACCAATTGAACAACGGCTGGTAGAGGCTGTTGCTCGCGTCACCCTGCGTGGCCGACACCCCGATCCAGATGGAGGTCCAGACCTCGTCGCGGGGGTCAGTCACCGTCGTCCCTTGGGGGACCCCAGGCGCGGCGATCGAGTACGTGGCTTGGGTGATCTGGCCGTGGGCCGGGGGGCCCATGGAGAAGCCGGAGCCGAAGGTCCAGGAGTCGGGGCTGTAGGCGGCGGTGTTGCGGAGGGCGATGGCGAGGGCCAGCGCGAGGGCAGCGGTGGTGTATGTGTATGTGTATGTGTAGCGCATTTTGCTTGTTATCGATCTTGAAACTGATAGGAATCAGACAGAAATCGATTGGATTAGCATGGTTGAAGAGAGAAAATATGGAGTGAGAACCAGTCAAGGCCCTAGAAATTAATGACAATGACACTTGACGAGAATGAAAATTCAGAGAATGAGACTCGGTTTGTTGATCAACAACCTTCTCGAAAACCGGATGGAGGCCAAAGTTAATTGGGGTTTGTTAGGGCAAGTCGAGCAGCTCAGCTATAGTGCTGCGGGAATATAAACTCAAGTCCTTCGGGTCTTGTCGTCAGGGACTCGGGTGCAGCTGCAGGTGTCTCCACCATCAGAATTAAGCTCTGTCTTGATATGCCTTGAATCGAAACATGACTCCTGAAGTTGCTCGACGTTCTTGGTATGGAGTGGTTGGCGCAATATGTCGGATGGGATGTAAAACCAACCCTCCCCTACTATCGTCTTCTGTTGATAGGCTCTCCAGCCTTGGGTAAACTCCAGACTTGTTTATTTATATCTGCGGAAGCCGCACGACTAGGTTGATTTAGCATTCGCCACTGACTGGACGGAGGAATGCCGCCCACCGTACCCTACAATAGATCAACATCTTGAGTCGTTCATAGATGAACAATCTTCCATATTCTGTCTGACCACAGCTATATGTACCGTACATGAATGGCAGAGATGGAAGCGTGGCAAGGGGGAAACCAGAACAGGGTGCCCATCGGAGGGAGCCACGAATCAGACTTTCGCGGAAGACAGCAAACCACATTGGCAAAAATAAGATCAAGTCAAAGGTAAAGGAAAATCGGATAGGGAACGCAACACCTCCAATCAGTCAAGCAGAGACACAGACCATAAGACAGGGCCAAATAGCACGATCATGAAAACAGGTGAGAGAAGAGTAAAGGAAATCAGAATCATATATAGAGAAAGGCGGTTGGTTGGTCGAGCGATCAGTCTCCATCTCTTGAGCGGGCAACTACTGTCCATACATTAAACAGGAGTGTCCTTTGAAAGACAAGTGACTGGCATCGAGCGTCCAAAATTACATAGAGTCCGGCACCAAGGTGCGAGACTAGAATTCTAAGAAAGCGGCGTGAGGGAGGCGAGAGTCGAAACATCGCTTCGGAACTCATTGCATATATCTGACGGACCGAGCCACGTCCCATACGCGTGATAGCGCTAGGAGTCGCAGAAAAGAAGGAATTAGATAAAATGCGGCATCGTCTATGCGCGGTGTGCATGCCATTCCCGCCAGCAAGAAAGAGCAGCGTGGTTGTATAGGAATGCCGCCGAGAGGAAAAGTGTATGTACATATCCGGATCAGAACCCGAACGGATTGGTAGGTGCTAAGAAGTGGTGTACTAGTCAGAAATCTGCAAGTGTGGGATCAGTGTTGAAGGTTGAACTTACTAGCTTGCGCAAGGTTGGCTCGGAGGCCTGTCGGCTGTGGGGCTAGCTTCTTGGGGGCGTCATGCTTCACACCGAATCGGATGGGAGGGGCGGGGCCAGTCTTCTGGGGCTGCAGTGGGGTAGCAGTCGGCTGGTGAGGGATAGGTGGTAATGGCGGAGCTGGTCCACTGTATGGCATACTGCTGACTCCGTTCATGCCAGTCGGTTGAGGCTGCAAAGGCGGAGGCAGGACCGAATTGATGCCGGTCTGCATTGGCTGCTGCGGCGGTGGCTGGAAACCTCCAAACCCGGTCGGTTGCGGTGCCAAGCCAGGATAGCCAGTCTGCTGCTGCTGCTGCTGAATTCCAAATTGAGATTGCGGCTGGAACCCGGTTGGCTGCGGCATCAGCCCGTTCTGGAATTGAGCTTGCGGCATGAATCCGGTCGGTTGAGGCTGCTGCAGGGATGGCTGGAAACGTTGTTGATTCAGCTCGGCCAAGCTTTGACCCGGCGGGGCAATCTGCGGGCCCGATTGAGGAATCCCAGTCAGCTGAGGCTGCAGTGCAGGGGGCCCAAAGGAGCTGGGCTGCTGAGGGAAATTCTGAGGGGCTGAGAGAGGTCGTTGAGGCGGGGGAGGAAGCAACGAATTGCCTCCCAGTGGAGTTTGTTGCGCTTGCGGACGCTGTCTCGCGGCCGACTGGAACCCGGTTCCCTGAGGACTGAAGGCTTGAGTGGCCTGTGGCTGTCCGAGCTGTGCGAAGAAACCAGGTGAAGCACCCGTCGCCTGCGGCTGTAGTTGGGGTGCAGGCACAGCAGTGGGCTGAGGCTGGATCGTATGCTGAGGTTGGATGGTGGGTTGAGGTTGAATAGCCGGTGGCGCTGCGGGCGGCGACTGAGGCGCAGCCGCGGGGGCAGGGGCGGGGGTGGGTTGAAGGGGAGCCTGGAGCAGGGAGAGCTCTGCCATTGCGCCAGTGAGCGGTTGTGCAGCTGGAGGTTGGCTCGGAGTTGGTGCAGAGGCGGCCGGAGGGGGGCTTGACGTAGTCGCCGGCGCAGCGGGAGCAGCAGTGGTGGGTGCCTGTTTGGGTTGCTTGACTTCCCAGGCATCGTCGTCGAAGCCCTTTTGTACTGGTGGTTCCGGCGCGGTTGCAGAGGCAGGCGGAGTGTCACTGCGCTCTGCAGACTTCGAACCATCCTTCTGCTCGAAGGCCTTCGGGTCAACCACATCGCTTGCCGGCGCATTAGGTGCCGGTCTGCCCTTCCGAGTGTTATTGCGCAGCATCCCTCCAGGACCAGAGAACAGGCCACCGGTCCCTTCCTCGTCGATGACTTCCTCGCCTCCGAAGCTGACGTTACGCAGTTTAGACTTGGCGCCTGTTCGGCCAAACATGTTATCCAAGTAACGCATTACCCGCAGGATATCGCCCTCCTTCAATCCAAGGGTGCGCAAGACTTCGGGGGTGATATCCGGAAGGATTCCCTCATCCATGGAGTCCTTGATGAAGTTCTGTGAATACCGTTCACACTGGTGAGGGCCAACACCGGCCTTCAGGAAGAAGTCGAACCAGTCGTAGTCGGACTGCTGGAAAGAAGCACCATTCTGCTTTCCATCAGACGAACTTCGAGGCTTTTCGGGCTCGATGCGTTGAGAACGGCGCTTTATGTCGGACAATGGCTTGTCTTCATCCAGAGAGGCTCCAGTCAGCTTTTCGACGTATTCCAGGTCTTCCACCGACATCTTCATGATGGGCACGGCGATCTTGATTCCATTCTGCTTGTGCAAGTGAATTTTACCGTCCATCAATCCGATGAACTGGGCCTCAACGGTGAAAGTCTTCGTGCGGTCGGTCCATTGTCTAACCTTCGTAGGATCGGGTTCTATGCAGATTAGTCAATATTAGACACATTGTTACAGATTCGCCAGGACTTACTCGACTTGTGGCTCGATTTGCTGTCACGTTTCTGGCGCTAGAGCATTATTAGCATCTTGTCGTTCTCTAGGATGGTGCCATGGCGTGCACGAAACATACCTCTGGACTTCGCGGATCCACCATCGAGTCGGTTTTCGACTTCCGGGACGCCTCCTTTGTGAGACGTGCTTCCTCCATGCGATTCTTCTCCACTGTGGACAAGCCTGGTTCCGCACCCCCAGGCGGCGGGGCGGTGACGGTACCTGTAATCTCGATGTAACTGCTCGGAACCACACCCTCCTTGCCGTTCTTGAGACGGCGTACCATCCACCACTCTTCCGACTTGCTGTCATCGAGAACAATGACATCGTCGCCCACTGCCACCGTCACCTCATCATCGCCCTGCGCCATAAAGTCATACAAGATCTGGCCCTTCTTCTGACCTCCGCTGGTGCCGGCGGCAATGACCTCCCGGAGTCCTTCGGCGCGGTATGCACCCGAGATCTCTCCAAGGGCGGAAACAATCTCACGAGCTGTATCTTTCGCTCCCGCATGGAAATCAATACTCTTGCTGGGGCGGATAAGATCAACGAAGACGTGCTTGCCCTCAATAGAGTAGTGGGTCAGCTTGTCCGCCGTCCATTCCTGCACGGCACCATCTTCTTCTGGCGAGATGAAGATAGTTCCCGTTGCAACATTGATACCCAAAGTCGTGGGCATCTTCTTTCGTTTGCCCATGACCTCGACCATCTCGTTGATAGTGTAAATGTGGTAACCCGACGGGGAACGTGGAGTAGGATGGCCCACTCTGTTGTAGGGAGGAGATTCCTTCACATGGCCCTCGCTCTCATTACTTCGGAGTGATACATGTCGGGGCTGAACGGGCTCGCGGGGCGACTCTACGCGCACAGGCGACGAGATGAACTCTGATGGGGGACGCTGCGGAAGAGCCGGCGGCGGCGGCGAGGGTTCCCTTCGATAGTCCTCCTCGGGTTCATATGTCGGACGCGCCGGCTGAGGTGGCGGTGGCACAGTGCGGGGGGGTTCGGACTCGACGGGGGAGGCGTGTTGCTGGTGGAGGATATTGGCAATGGCAGCAGCAGCAGGGTTTTGCACGGTGTCGATTGGCGAAGGGGCGCGGGCCTCGTTCACTTCATCCGCGGTCACGACCGGTCGCTGCGGAAGCGTGGGAGGCGCGGGTTCGGGTTCATGTTCATATTCCGGTTCCGGTTCATACTCATCCGGTACATGCGATGGGGCCGAAGGTGCAGCAGCGTGGCCTGCGTCGTCCACGATCTCGATATAGTTTGCGGGGGCGAAGCCAAAATCCCCATTGACACCCACTAGCGTCCAGTCGGGATCGGAGGTGTCATACACAATCAAGTCTGCATCTTCGGAGAAAGACACCTCTTCGTCTGTCTGGCGCGTGTAGTCGTAGAGTGCCTTGGCTGTGTGCGTAGGTTGAGCCTGTGAGTCGAGAATGAGAGCGTCAGTATCGAACAGTGTGTTGTCGCGCCTTCCACCGCACCCGCTCTACCCCTGAAGGCGAGAACACCCGGATAGCGGGAATCGTTCGCATAGCCGATGGGAGAACACCCAAGTTGGTCGGGTTCGGGATTGGCGGAATCATCGGCCTGGGACCATCGAGTCAGGAGATCAGTGCTTACCTCCTCGACGTAGTTGTTCGGAACGAGACCTTCGGGCTCATCCTCATCGTCGCGATCGGCCTTCTTCTTGGCCTTCCACCAACTGTCTTCCTCACTTTTTTCTAGAATACAGAGCAGATCGCCTTCGCGAAGCTCTAATTCTCCTGCCCCTTGGGGTTCATAGTCGTAAACCAC